CAGATGATGTTTTGAACCTTTCGCTGCACTGGGAGGACGTCGTCAATATTTCCATCCGGCATGACGCCGTGGAGTGTGCGGGGGGGGGGGAGGGGCGGTTATACTGCGGGCCGTGACTTTCAGGGACTCTATGCACATCTGATCACAAGTGTGGTTCGTGTACTGGAATGCTGCAGACCGTCCTACTTCCGCCTCGGCCTGCTCTGAGAGCTCCCTCCAGTTTTTCTTGTAGCGGGACCACCAGCCCTGGCTACGCGCCAGGTCGAAGATACGTGGCCGTTGGAATAGGCGGGACGTATTAGATTATGATGTAGTTTCTGGTGCAGTTTCTGGTGCAGTTTCTGGTGCAGTTTCTGGCGCAGTTTCTGGTGCGGTCTCTGGTGCAGTTTCGGCAGTAGATCTGGCCATCCGGCACTTGCTCAGCACCTCAGCTGGGCCAGTTTAAACTACACCCAGGCACATCGGTTCACGTTTGATCCCTGTTCTGTACCGTTGATTATTTCCGCTGTGCGACGCATCCGTTGAGTTTTGCTCGGAAGGAGCCATTGTTCTCTACGGCGTGCGTTTAAAGAAACACCCGCCGCTTAGACGCGGGATTATGAACGCCTCGTCCCGCAGTTTAAGTAGTGGGCTCCAGAGGGAAATTGAGGCAGCCATCAGGCTCGCCGTGTTCATACATCACAATAAGCGCTCCAAATGTTCCTTTTTCATCCAGAGAGCTGTAACGAAACTTCAGTGAACTTTTAGCGAGCTACTTTACAGTTCATTCCCACCACTCGTTGTTTTATTCTCCACCATCTTAACGAGCGGCTGGATTTTCCCTGCGGGTTTTTTGCATGTGCGTGGCGCTCTCTCTATGTTCCCAGCTCAGGTGATTTGGGGTTTCTTGCTCCAATCTGATGAGCTTCATGAGAGACTGAAGTCTCATGAACTTTAGTCTCCTTAACTATATCATCTAGGTGCTATAATAGTCTAGTAATATCATCTAGGTACAACGTATGGCCAATATCATCTAGCTGCAGCGTAGCAGCTCAAACAATGTGTTTGCTTAAAACCATTCTTGCCGTACAGTTTAAACGGTGTCCTCATAGCTGAAGTATGGAGATGAACATGGCGTTTCGCACCAGTTCGCCAGAAGCCGTTTTATTGAAGTGAACGTTTGCCCACCGCGTTCTCAGCAGCCGACCAGGGATCCTGGCGGCTAGCCGAACAGTGAAATTCGAACAGCCGTCCCGGCAGTGCGCCACCTTCTGCCAGTACCGCGAACTGACGCATGGGCTTCTGTGTACATTCCATCATCCACTCACATAAGTGTTATAAACTAAGGCTATCAAAACCTCTATGAGCTTTATTGATACCTTAAGTGTGCTTTTGTATTACTTGTAGCCGTCCTGGTTCACACCACGTACAAATTATACATTATAACATTTGTGACCGCGTTGCAGACCGCCTCCCAAAATGATAGAAAAAATGTGTCAACGAACTATTTGAAGGTTGTTATCTATCCACGAAAGAGCACGGTAAAAACAGCTCCTGTGTCTAGAAGACGCGCCAATCTCCAGGTGTCCTGGTGGAAACCTGCAGCCCACCTCCCGGTGTCCTGAAGGTGACCGGCAGCCCAGGCGCCGATGTTCTGAAGTCGGCCTGCAGTCCAGCCTTCGTCAATCTCCCGCTGTCCTGAAGGTCGCCTGCGCCCCAGCTCCAAGCGTCCTGAATGTTGGCTGCAGCCCAGCCTGCGCCCGCTGTGGACGCCCGCTCTGGCGTCTCCGGGTGTCAGCGCTCGGCAGCCGCTCCCAGAGCATCGGTGCAGGTCGATGCCACGCGGCTTTCGATACAACGCACGAGTGAACACCTTGATTTTGTATCTGAAACGGAACGGCTGGATGCGAGCGAGGTCAATACGCGGCGTGATCCGCGCTTCCGGAGCGCCTCTGAAACGTCTCGATGTTTCCTGTCCGCAATTGGTCCTCAACACCAGTAACCAGTACACCAGTAGATCCAGTAACCGTGCTCAACACGGCGGTCGGCGTTCGTTATTGAACGGCGCTGAATGATGCATGCTTTTATGGACGGAGTTTGGACCGGATGGCTTGTGTTAAGGCGCTGATACATTTTGCTTCCTCTCGCCCAGCCACCTGACGTTTCCTGGTTGTGAATAAGTCAGCGATGCTGTCTCTCCGGATACCAGGGCCGAGAGCGGGGCTTGACGGGGCCCGCAGAGTGGTTAAATTCCGGGTTTGGGATGAGCCCTAGGGCTGTATTGGAGCTTGTCGGGTGATATTCAAAATACGTGGATAAAGATCGTATTTTTACTGGCCAGGGGTGTAGTTTCCTGTTCAGTTGGGGGGGGGGGGGGCGGGGCTCAAGCCCCACTGCGACTTGAGCTCTAGTGCGGCCTCCTCAACTTCGAGAAGAGAGTACGCCAAATCCGGGGATAAGCCTGTTTGCTGGCGTGTTTTGGTGTTAGATTCCACCTTTGACGCTGTTCAGACCCCCAGTTATCTTGCGAAACTCAGTCCATATTGCTGGCAATGTTGAGTAGTAGTAGCATCAGCGACCTATCCCTAATGACGTGAATGGAAAGATGACTACTTAATCGTGAGTTAATAATAATCTTATTATTATTACAAGCATGAGCATTAGTGCTGGCAAACAGTGTACAGATTAGTACTTCTTACTGTGCCATTTTTATCTCGTTTCACCTGAATCCGTGGGCAGTTTTGTGGTATGTCTACCCCCAATGCATATTTAAAGGCAATGTTCCACACTTGAAGATATTGAATCAAGTATCAGATATTGTGAAATAAGCTCACTTACAACAATTGGTGCACCTCTAGTGGAAAAGACCGCTTTAGGCAGCACAAGTCTCTGTTTAGTAAAGATGCTCCTCAATGCGTCATGGTTTGATTACTTCATCGTACCTTGCACAACATTGATTGAGAGCCTTTTGACTGTCGTTGTATCTGGACATTGCGCTCACGAATGCCTGAACTATGAAGGTCTCAAAAGTTATATTTTATTGGCCTTGATCGCCGCATGGCTTATGAAATGGCAGGGTTTGCATGACGTTATTATGAAGTCATAAATGCCCAGGTGATTTTGAAATACTCACCCCGATATGCCTTTTTCCATTTTTGCGGGCATGTGTAGCTCAGAAACTAGAGGGCCGTAAGTTTTAAGAAGGGCAGGATTGTGAACAGCACCGAAATATTTTCAAGATGGCTGTTTCAGTTCAAAACGCCGTTTGGATGAAGATCGTTTCTTGTAAAACGGCACGTGTGAGATGCATCGGATGATGTTTAAAACTGCTATTTCGTTTCAAAACCCCATACAAATGTGAAATTCTTTCTTTATAGGGGATGCTTCACATGTGAAGATATTGAGGCAACCATGAGACATGATTTAGCAAGTTGTTTTGTAACTGCTGGTATGTTTTTAAAGTAAAAAGTATGTTTTGTTTTTAGTGCAAAAGACAGCTCCGGGCAACACAATTTCAGTATTCAGATGTTATGCTTCTCAGCACGTCATCGTAAGATTATATCATGGAACGTTTGTATGACGTCAGAGGTGGTGCAAAACTGGCCTGCGAGATTGTCATCGAGAGGTGTTATGGTTTCATGCTAATCAGTGCCTTGTTTGCAGAACCCAAATATCCTTATATGCGCGTGTTTTAGCTCTTTCCCGTGGTGCTCTTGCTTACTAATAAGTGGTTTTATATCGCTGACTTGCATTAATGTGCTCGGCCATGGTGCTGTTAATTTACTCAATTCGCAGTCCTTTTTCCGTCATAACTCGTGACACTGTCCAACTGTTTGTCTCATATGGCACAAAACATGATTTATGTTCATTACCCGTATGATACCGATCACCTTGGTCCAGGGCCAATTGAAGTCAGTTGATGTAAGAAATTGTGCTGACGTAAGCCGGACACGAATAGCTGGATGATAATGTTTTTGGTGGGCGTAAGCGCTGCATGGCCAATGAGGTGACACGATTTGTGTGGGGTTTCTAAGGCACCGTGCATTCTGGTAACCTTGTAATAGTCTGCACGAAATGGTGTGCACGCATTCGCGGACGTCAAGATACGGAGCCAGGTGCCTTAAAGTCTCGAAAAGGAAAGAACTGTAAACTGTACTGAGTTATTTTCAACATGACTATCTCAGTTTGGAACCCCCATACAAAAGCGGAACACTTCCTTTAACTTGTAACTAAGCAATTAACACACATGCCGTGATATTTTTGGGCAATTTGGATGTCCCAACTTCCGAAGCCACTGCCGCGTCTTCGCGGGTGCACTATAACAACTTTGCTGACTACTTTCGAAGCAACTACCGCATCGCTGCAAGTGTACCTAAATGTCTTCGCCGTCTGTTTTTAACTCACCCTCCTTTTTCTTTGACGTTAAGTGGGTGGTCGTCATGACTTCGGAATGATAACGCCCGCCTAGTGTGGACACAAGCCTGCCGTTAGTAAATGGGACGAGAAAGCTGAATGGGCCGGCATTGATCCAGCATTCCCGGCAAGATGTGGTTATTTTGCAGGATGTTAATGGTGACATAATGGCTACAACCAACGCACCAAATGACAAGAGTATTTGAATGACGTCACCGCCGAATAAAAGCAGACTATCTAAAAGCAATTTAGCCACATTTTCCTCCGAATGCAAGAATGTGTCCATCACGTATGAAGGAGGACCCTGTCAGCATTTCCGGGGACAGGCTGTCTCTCCTCATCTATGACAAGCGGACATTGCCATCGCTCCTGAATTTTATCTGCCGGTCCCCGCACCGTGCCCCGTGGTCATTCACACTCTTCGTTGCCTGATACGCGCCCTATGTCCCGTGAGCATATCGCCTGCTCGTGCAGCCGGCGCTGCGCAGCGCTTTGCCTAGCGCGGCGACCGACGTGTCCTGCCAGCAACCACCGCAACAGCTGTCGGGAAACGAACCTGACCGTACAACTCGTGTGTGTCGTCTCTAACGCGGCGGCGCTGGTTACAGCCGGCCGACAGTCGCGCAGGTCGGTGCGGGTGGCGAGCGGCCGCGCACGCAGCCCCTGCTCCACCGATTCGCCCTCGCTGCGCCGGCTGCTGACGTCACCGCGTCCCATGACGTCGTCGCTGGCGGCGGGGCGCGCGCCGGCCTGGGGAGGAGCTGCCGGAGGAGCGGGACGGGCGTCCGCGACCATCAGGCTCGGCGGCGAGCCAGCCTCGGCGGACGCCAGCAAGGAGAGCCCGCACGGCGGCGAGACCGGCCCCGGCCCCGGCCCCGGCCCCGGCTCTGGCCCCGGCCCCGGCCCCGCCCCCGGCTCGGACGGAGAGGCCCTCTGCGGCGGTACACGGGGGCTTGGGAGTCCTGGTGGCCAGCGGATACCCGTAGGAGACGCCACGGAGTCGGCCGGGACGGCGGCGGGTGTTGCTCAGAGCTGCGACCCTGATGCCGGCGGCGCAGAGACACAACCACCGACACAGTGCGGTTCGACGACTGTTCCTGTGGCATCACAGACTGTACGGCAACAGGTAAACGGTAGCTTTAAATCGTTTCACTCGCGATCTGTTGCATTTAGAGGAAGGCAATGGGTGGAGTGTCGAATATGCTGTAGTCCAAGTTAATTTCACAACTATAGTATCAGCGGCATGGCATTTGTATACACCCACCCACCCACATAGCATATCACAGAATATATATATATATATATATATATATATATATATATATATATGGGGGGTGCATGCGCGTACGTGCGCACATTCGTGCGCTCACAGTAGTCGAGGACACCGTTCATTCCTCACCCGTCAAGCTTCCGTACCCAATATCCTAAGCATATCAGCGACCAATCAGTACGCAATCCAGAATTTGGCCGAATGGTCGCCGCGAATTCCTGGCCGCTGGTTCCCTTCAGCTGGAGTGATGTGTGTGCTGGTGCCATGTCGAGTAACTTCGATTTGCGTAGTTTGATCAGCCTAGCAGTGTACTTTCACAGCCTTGTTTTGGTTTGTCGCACGGCTAGCCCTGCTGATGACGGAATTGCACCGTTTTGCACTGCGTCTTGAGTGTGAATGGTAGCCGTCACAATGGTGGCCGTTACCTGCGGGCCGCTGTTAGGTGTTGACCTGTGCGCGATCTGTGCCGGCAGATGGAGGTCAGCGCCTGTCAGCGGCAGCCGGCTGGGCCAGACCGGCCGCGCGCGGCGGACGCGTCAGCGCCGCTCGCCCGCGTGGCCGTGTTCAGGTCGGGGGTGTCTTGGTGTCCCGCCGCGCCCTCGGGCTCGCAGCGGCGCAGGCTGCCTCGCCCGGCCGTACCGGCGGCGCCCAGCGCCCGGCGTGCGGTGGTCGTCGACCCCTGGCGTCCGCCGCCGGCCGCCGCCAGGACGGACACCCCCGTAGTGCCGCCCACCGCCGCACCGTTCAAAGCTGGCGCGCCGCGCCCCATTGCTGACGCAGGTGGCGCTAGCAGCGCTTTAGCTAGATGGCGCTGTGAGCAGTCCGCCAGTGGCGCCACCGTCGACTTCCACGGCAAGATGGCTCAGCTACTGGCGCACGGTCTGGGGGAGGGGGAGCCGGAGAAGAGGCGCACATCAGCGCACGTGCGTGCAGACGGCATGCTCCGGTTCAGCCGCGAATTCCTCGCGTAACTGCGCTGCTATACGTCTGGGACAGTGGCTAGTCGATGTACGCGGTTGGTGTGCTCGCGGCGGGGCAGGAGCAGGCTTCCGTGAGTCATCTCACAAACTGGTCGCTGCCGTCTGTAGCAAATGAAGGTTGTGATTTTCCTGTTGTGTTGGGTTAGTTTATTCCAAATCATGTACGTGAAATGGAAATCCTTGGCATTGTGCAGCGTGCGGTAAGATATCAACTTGGTCTCAAATTATCATACAGCATTGCTATTCAAGGTGAACACATGAATTGTCATCAAACACGGTCATATGCTAGAATTCAGCAGTAGTGCCTGGATGGGGTTCGGCCCTCTGGCGGAGGCGCCAGGCGCAGCCTTTCCGCGCAAAGCTGCCGCAACTTTCAGTGTCAATTGTGCCAGTGTTCACTGTATTGACCGGAAGACTGCACTACACAGTCGATCAAGATAACGGGTGTAAGTCATGAGCAGCAGCTCGTGGTCTTTATCTGAGATCGCGTCTCTCTATTGTCTCGTATTCGTGTATGTTCGCATATCTAGTATAGCACCTCCGTGATGTGATGAGCATGTCGTCATTATCTATCATGTTATCTCATTCTGCGTAATGGTCGAACCCACTTTATACAGCGAACCAAATGGTAGGGTTTCGGTTTTTAAGTCCTCTTATCGACGGTAGACCCGCTCACTTCAAGTGGACAAAATTATAGCGAAGGGCGCGCTAAGATTCCGCATTGTACTGCGTGGTCATTATTACGTCACATCAGAATAATGCAAGCTCGATGTTTCGGACACGCGGCGTCCAATCCATTCAGCACATCCTTGATTAGTTAACTCCTTGAGCACAACAGACAGGCGACGCGTGCGGGCCGCGTGGTGAAAGCCAGTAAACAGACGGCCGCGCGCCAGGATCGTCGGTGCTCGTAGCCAGGATTGCCAGGATTCCACTCAGCCAGGCTTCTGCTCAATTAACGAAGAAGCCTGCGGGCGGTCGCCTTGTCCGCCAATCAAAGCCGGGTTGTGAGCTTCCTCGTTGCGATGCGTTACTCCATCGGAGGCACTTCGTTCCCATCATTTCACGGGGAGGATTTCCATGGAGCTTGGGGTACGCATGGTTTGTTGCTGCATCTCAGCGTTCGGATCTGTGTGTTTACAATGTAAACAGAATGTACCAACAGTCGTTGTGTTCGTGTGGTACAGGTGTGCTGGTGTACACAGTAGACTGTCGGGGATGTTGTGAGCTACTTTGCTGTATATTTGTATTGCGTACTGCAGCAAAAAGGGGCGCATGTATGCGAGGGATCGGGCGATGCTACACAGGTTCCCAATAGTACTTCGTGTCATCAGAGGCCTCATCGTTGCTTCCTTAACGGACCACAGCGACAGGTTGTGCTGGATCGAATCCTCGTGACATTTTTCGATCTGTTCATTCTCTTACAACTCGAAAAAGGTCTGAGAATGTCGCTCAGCTAGCGACGATTGTTTTTCTTCCACCACGCTCATTACATGCTGATTTCATTTGCGATAAAGTCCCGCTTGAGTCCACCTGATCGGGCACTAGCACCGCTGCTGAGAGCATAAATCAAAAGTAAAGTAATATCGATCGAGGCTTTTTTGTCTCACTTTCGCTCCGACATCCGCGCATGTGCTGAACAGAGCACGTATCACCGCTGGAGCAAACATGCTAGCATGTTAAAATATCCATGCCACAAGCCAGGGACTTCCACTCCCAGCACTGACATGCACTGCTTCCAGACAATCCCTCCTTGACTTCTCCTCTGTCCACGCCAAGAGCGTGGATCCGTGGATCCAAGAGCATGATCCGCACGCTGCGTGATCCGCGTGCGGATCATGGCGCCGGATCAGTGCCAAAGCTCGGTGTCGACGCCCTTGTCGGCTCCGCGTGTGAGACCAGTCGCCTGCGGGCATTCTCAGGACTGCGTCGCTGCCCAGCCAGTGCTGTCGTCGATGTGCGCTCGCCGGGGATAATTACGCTTTCCTGGGCGACGGCATGTGGGCTTCTCGTCGTAGCGTGTGTCGGCGTCTCTGGCGCTATTGCTGGCCGATGTCGTCGGGGATACAGCCGACCCGGGGTCTAGTGTGGCAGTGCGGCAGGCATATTGGCGCGGAGCGAGACGCGTTGCTGGGACAGCCAATCAAAATACACGTCGTCGTCGCCTGTGTGCCGCGGCTTGTGTGCGCAGGTGCCGGTGTGAGTCGTGTTCTGGAGACCAGTGAAGTGAGCCGGCCGTTCTCAGACACGCTGGAGCGACTTTGCAACGTGTCTGAGACTTCGACCGCACACATGTGGCAGAAATGCAGACAGTCTGAGCTACCATTACCGTGGCGAACCGAACGCTCGATTAGCCTATTAGGGTGGACAAAACAGCCCTGGGCGGCGGGAGGTCACGTTAGCACAGGTCACAATCCAACCGACAAGGACAGCGCTGTGCTATAGCCAACACCTACCATATATACAAAGCACTGGTGTATTATACCCAGTTTTCTTGGCCTTCACTGACGCTTAACTGCCTTGAAAGCGCGATAGTAAAGCAAACCACCAATGCGGTCAAATGAAAAATGTCGTCTTTTCGACGGTTCCTTAAAGTATATGTTGGATTGTTCGTTGATAAGAAAAGATTTTACCTGGCGGCCAAATGATACGCCTCCTGCACAAGTCTGTGTCCTACATAATGCCACGAGACTTTCATATACCCTTACATATTAGATGAGAGGCGGTTATCTGGCTTCTAATAGCCTGATTATTGTGGATAGTACACACCTAAGCCCCATCATGTGTTGCATCAGCATGGTGAGGAGGTTTATGTAACATTGCGATGTAGATCTGACCGCTGTGGTTGGTGCACTGCGAGCAAATCTGCCCCATGGGGCTAGCAGATTAAAGGGCAGAGCAATGTCTTTCATCAGAGGACTTACCTAAACTGACCAACTGGCCATGACGTGCAGGTGATGATCGTATCGTTAGTCGCTCATGTTTTATAACATCGTATGTGTATCGCTGGTGTTGCGTCCCATTTGCATGTGTGGCGTGTTCTGTCTATATATGTGATATGTGCCGGTGCGGCGTTAGAAAAGCCATCTGCTGGATTTCGCCAAGGTTCGCAATAATAATAGGCATTGGGCACTAGGCATTAGGCATAGGGCATTGACATGCGACATTGGGCATTGGGCATAGGACATTGACGACGGTGGGCTCCACGCCATTTGGGAGTTGACAGAACAGCGAAGAATATAGGGTGCCGCTTGCTTAACCTATTGCATATCTGGCAGTTCTGAACAGACCGACTGATAAAAATAGAAGGTAACGACTAATGGAACCAGTTATTAGAACCCAGCCCCCCCCCCCCCCCCCCTGAAGTATGTTGGCAGCACAACCACTTCCGGCGTACTTGTCCTACCAGCACGTAGTTTGTTGTTTTTTATAGATTTAATCCGAATCTTTTTAATGGATGGATTTCTGCGATCAGAGCTCACCCTAGGCATTGCTTGTTTTGTGAGCCTTGACCTCTGTCATCCGATCGTGACATTCCAGGTCAACGGCAAAATTTGGTGGCAAAGTTAAACGCACTGCAATGTTCGGCACGGTCCGTACTGCCCTCTGATGTCACCTGACCTTCAGCGCGGTTGCGCGTTCACGTGAGGCTCGAGGCCTGCTTTTCACAAAACTGTGAACCGAACTTCGTCGCGCTAATGTCGATGAACACGACACGGAAATAAAGATTGCTCAGTTATATTGCGACGATCCCTGGACCATTTCTGGTCTAAGGAAAGTCAACTATCACTGCTTTACCGGGAAAAGGTTTCATGCATGGCTCGCCGTTGATTCCTATTTTCAAGATATGTCCCATAATCTCAGGGAATCAGCCGGCGCCGTCCCGCATCCAAAATTCAAAGACCGTATGTTCGAGGTCCGGGCGGACCAGAAGCAGAACCTGTTCCCTATGGGATATGCTGCTAGCAGTCGCTTCGTGCTATCAGTGTTATGCGGCACACAACTTCTTAAGTTTCTTGCAAGAGAAATTAGAAATGACACCAAACCATTTTAAATGCATTCACTAGTGCAGCATTTGCATCACGTTACAGGCTGATAAATGCTTGGTGTAAAACAAAGTTCTAGCCTACATTGTACATCTGGTGCATTTCTATAATCATGACACAATTTATGTACTGAACTATTCTCTACCCGGCATCTCTTACCCTGATTTACGCCCCAGAGGCAAAAGTTGAGTGATGGATGCAAAGGACGTTTCTGCGCGACCGTCTGTCATTCTCGTTACATAAGCTAGAGTATGAAGAGTAAAAAGCCTGGTTACGGTTCATCCTTGCCTTCTTGGAAGCTGAAGGTGTTATAGTGTGACATTTCTAGATTTTGTTAGCGGCGCTGCTTCAGCAAACGCTTTCTTGGACGGCGATTTACATCATAAAACCAGATGCAAGTACTTTCACGAATGGGTTTAAAAACTCCTTTGCAGCAGATCTTTTATACATGGGTTTAAAAACTCCTTTGTATTAGATTTCCTTCACTGACCGATCACCGCCAAGCATCTCAGATAATACTTTATAAGCCGGAGCAATCAACATACGCCTCTTGTTTTTTAGTTGTGTTTTTTCTTCGTTCTTCCGCCGGCTGTGATGAGCACATCGTGCCGCGGCGTAACAGACAGGTGATGTTGGCTATGTATTCACCGCGCACAACTGGACCCCGCCGGAACCGGTGCGCCTGCGGACATGACCCGGAGGTCTACGGTTCGCTTCCGTGGTGAGGCCCGGCTTTTGCAGGTCTTTTAAATGGTACGAGGCGAGACAAAAAGTGCCTGTGCTGGCCACGAGGATCCACAACAGGCCGTAACAGACTCTGGCCGCAACACAACGTTTAACATATGTATAAACATACATAAGTAGTATGCACAAAGAAACATATGTAGGATGTACCAACATACACACGTAGTATGTATAAGGATACATATGCAGCATGTATGAGCA